TCCCTGAATGGACCACAAACCTGGGAGAAGCCACAGACCCACCGATTAGTCAGGAGCTCCTCTGGGAAGGGATGGGCTGTAGCTGCATTTTAGCAGCAGCACCTCATGACGGGGGGAGTGTGGAAGCAAACCTCGGATGGCAGCACACGCCGAGCAGCACAGCAAAAACGAAAACAAGCTGGGGCTCAAGGGAGATTAAAGGCAGAAGAGGAAAAATCCCAGCCAGTAGCACGACAACGCAGGATTAAGCTTGGAAAAGTGCAGAGGTAATGCAGAGGGAAGGGAGAGGGGAGGATGGAGTTGTCCAGCCCCAGATGTCTGGGAGCAGAGGAACATTTCTGAAGTTCGACCCAGTTCGCAGGTCAGTGCTCATCGTCTGATCCTGTCACAGATGAGCAGCACAGCAGAAAAGCTTATGATGTGAGCTCTGAAAACAGCTTGTGATTATTTCCCTGCTATATTGGTACCTCCCAGATGCTGCTGGAACCTCACCAGTACGAAAGGGCTTCATACCAGTATAGCTCTCCTCCCTTTTCCCGCTTATGTTGATAACCATCATGGCACAAAGCACTTTTTATAAATACATCCATGCCAGGATAAGGGGTTATGCGGTTTTAAATACACCAAGAAGAGTGGCTAATATCTTTGCATAGACTTAATTAAATCATTAATTAAATTCGTGCCGTCACTGAGTGTCAGCCAGTCCAGAGGGTCCATAGTAATGCAGATAAAATAAAACAGATTCATGTATAAGTTTTACCATAGGTATAAATAATTATAGCTATTTTGCTCATCCATGTCTGTCAAAACTAATTTGCTTCTTCCTGAGCAACATGGGAAGAGCTGGACCTGGACCAGTCATTTGAGGCGCCACGGGGCTTCCTAGATATCCATGGGCATGCAACCAGGACACAAGACCTGCTGGAGACCTCAGCCTTTCTGGAGCATCAGCTCAAGGCCAGGCAAGTTGTCCTGCTGCAGCTTCAACATGGGGGTGTTGAATCTCAGCAGACCTTAGCAGGAGACCCTCAACTCACAAGAAGAGATGGCCTAATCTGTGAGTTGAAGCCCACTGTTGCACTCTCTTTACTTCTGTTCTACCTCAGACCCTCTCTCTCTGTCACGAAGATGTGGAGAAGATGGATTTATTAATGACGAGGTGTTCAGAGACTGTGCCAGTGGAGCCCACCCACATATTGCAGACAAAGCAGAGCCATCCTTCTCCCAAGCTCCTCGAGCCTCCTCCTTTAGTGAGAGTTTTTAAATAACTTCCATCATAGGTCTCATAACCCATACAGGGGTGTAAATAAATAGCTCTATCTTCATTTTCCACCCCCTTCCAGACCTCTGTAAAACGGACTCCAGAGGAGAATAAAGGACAAACCTGTGCAGAAAAGCAGCCCTGGGAGCGAGCTGGCTGGAGTCGGGGATGCCACAAAGCCCACATAAGACGCTCCCTTATTGCATCTTTCCAGCTTTGACTTCATGGTCTATTTTTAGCACAGCAAAAGGTTTAGCAGTTTCGGAGCAGTCGGTTTACCGGTGTCAGGAGAAGGTCCCAGCCCTCCCATTCATGACCCAGAAGGCAGATTTGGATCTTTGATTCATCTGGAGGCTGTTACCCAAGCACAACGGCTGAGCCGACGGGTCGCACGCGTCTCCCATCATGGGACGGCAGCAAAAGCTCCTGCTCCCCCCGCGGTGACTCATGGGCTGACAGACCCTTCCTGAAGCATCGAGGCTGGAAGTACAGCTGTTCCCCCGTCCCCCTCCCTTCCTCCTTGTCCAATGTGTCATATTAAAGGGTGATCGGCTTACACATACTCCAGTATGGATTCCTTAAGCTTTGTGACGCTGTGGCTATATATAAAGCCCTACGCTGGAAACTGAAGTACACAGACAGCTGCGATAGTAGCAAGCGTTTCACATTCCCAGTGTGCTCACGGTCTGGAAGGAAGGGAGACCCGCGAGCCCTGCTTTAAGTAAAGTAAGTTTCTTTACCAGGGGCTCAGGTATAGATATATTCATAAATATATATATAAAAGAAGGATTGGGGAAAAAAAAAAAGGAGCAGTGACTCTTCACCATGGGTGCGCCTTTTGATCAAGTGGAAGAACTGCGTCTCTACCAGCAAACTCTCCTCCAGGATGGACTCAAAGACATGTTGGACCACAATAAGTTTCTGGACTGTGTCTTAAAAGTCAAGGGGAAGGAGTTTCCCTGCCATCGGCTGGTGCTGGCAGCTTGCAGCCCATATTTTCGAGTGATGTTCCTCTCAGACATGGAAGAGAGCAAGAAGAGGGAGGTCAGTTTGGAAGATGTTGATCCAGATGTCATGGGCAAGATCCTCCATTATATCTACACCTCCGAGCTGGAGATCACAGAGCAGAATGTGCAGGACATCTTCTCTGTGGCCAACATGTTCCAGATCCCCTCCATCTTCACCGTCTGTGTGTCCTTCTTGCAGAAGCGGCTCTGCCTCAGCAACTGCTTGGCTATCTTCAGGCTGGGCTTGATGCTGGATTGTGCCCGGCTGGCCGTGGCAGCTCGGGATTTCATTTGCGATCGCTTTGCGCTGGTCTCTCGGGATGAGGAGTTCTACCAGCTTTCACCCGATGAGCTTATTGCAATCATCTCCAGTGACTCCCTCAACATTGAGAAAGAAGAGACTGTCTTCGAAGTAGTGATGAAGTGGGTGGGGACCAAGGACCGTGAAAGCCGGCAGAAGGCCTTGCCTGTCATCTTTGAAAGCATCCGCTTCCGCCTCATGCCCAACGACTACATCAAGGACCACGTGGAGAAGCACGCCATGGTGAAGTCCAGCCCGGAGCTGCTCAAGAAACTGCAGATGGTGAAGGATGCCCAGAAAGGCAAATTCACTGTGGTGAAGAAGAAGAAAGTGAAGAAAAGCAGTGAAAAGCCAGCAAAAGACAACGTTGTCAATGGAGCAGTAGATGAGGAGAAAGATACAGAGGAGGATGCTCTCCCAGGGATCTTAAATGACACAATGCGCTTTGGGATGTTCCTCCAGGACCTTATATTCATGGTGAGCGACAGTGGAGCAGTGGCTTATGATCCCACTGCCAACGAGTGCTATTTTGCTTCCCTATCTACTCAAATCCCAAAGAACCACATCAGTCTGGTGACCAAAGAGAATCAGATCTTCATTGTCGGAGGACTGTACTACAACGAGGACAGCAAAGAGGATCCCATGAGTTCCTACTTCCTACAGGTACCAGCTTTATCTTTCTTTTGTTTCTTTGACCACTTCGGAGCATCAGCAGTCTTTTTAATTTCCATGTGGTGCCAGTAATATGCATTGTCATGTGATGTTAAAAAGAAAGTTGTAAATGAAGATGAAATATCTGAGTCATCTTACTAGAGATTCTTCCCCTTACATTTTTAAGGCAGATCCCACTGACGGGGGGTTCTAGTCATTGAGGAAGTAGGCTTGAAGGGGTAGGTAATAGGAATAACCCTTCCTGATCCAAATCATGAATTGGGGACCACATTGAACAGTGTATTGGGTCCAGCCCTGGCTGCCATAGGGCACACTAACTGGGAGGCTAGTGGCATCAGGTCTGGGTTCAGTTTTGCATCTTTCATATTCCCTGGTTATGAATCGCCAGCAAAACCCAAGGGTGACTCTGCCAGGTGCCAGCGAAGGGAACAACAGCAGCTACAGCCACAGAGCAAACACTCCAAGGACAGAGGGTATGTCCCTACCTACCAATATGAGCCCCATTTCCAGTGCTGATCTTGCCCCTGGATGTTTGCTGGGTCCAGCTCAGAGTCTCTGGCCATTTCTGTCATGTGTGGGGGAAACTATGGTGCGACATCTTTTGGGATCCTCCACAAGAAAAGTGGCTGTTCTAACTCAGCAGTAACCAAAGCTGTAATCAGATCGAGCTGTGCACAGGCAATCTGAGCCCCGGCCTGGGCTGTAACCCAAGAGCACCTTCCCTGTAGACAGCTAACGCAAGGCAGCTGACCCTGTAGGAATCCAGCAAATCCTCTGTCCTTCCCCTCATACCCAGAAAACCTTTTGTTCTTTTCCCATGGCTCACATATCTTCTGGGAGGAAACAATAACAAGTCCAGGCAGAAAGAATAAAGTAAGGGTAGTGCTCAAGCCGAGATATACGGCCTTGATCCCTCCATTGCCTCATTACATGGGTAGGTCTGTGCACCTGCACCATGTGGCCAGGGACCATGCTTGTCCTCACCTGGAAGGGGTCAAGCTTTGGAGCCTATGTAGCCCATGTAAAGCCTGTGAAATGAGAAGTCAGCAGGAAGAAACCGCAGCCCTAGAAAGCAGGATGGAGGGGGAAGGCAGTGGGAGTGCTGGGGGAAATGCTGTTTGAGATACAGCCATTGCCACTGGACAACAGATGACAACAGTGGCTGTGGCCAGCTCCATCACTTACCTGCACAAAGCAGGTAGACAGGTTGCTTTGTATTCAGCCAAAACCAACATCTAAAGGTCAATGCTCCACCAGTCTTGTTGCTGGCCAGGCAAGGTAATTCCTTGAGTGGCAGTGAAGGTCCACCATGTCCTGGGCTGTTTCAGCACGACTGCAGCAAGCAGGTCAAGGGAAGTGATTTTTTTTTTTTTTTTTCCCTTTGGTCATACACTTGTGAGACCACATCTGGATGCTGTGTCCAGTCTGGTGCTCCCCAGGACAAGGGAAACATTGAGGTACTGGAATGAGTCTAGCAGAGGCCACCAAGATGGTCAAGACTGAAGAATGGGAGGTACAAGGAGAGGCTGTGCTGGGTCTGACCAGCCTGGAGGAGAGGAAGGGAAGATCTCATTGGTGTCTGCAGCTCCCTAATAGGAGGGGACACAGAAGAGGTATCCAGACTCGTCTTGGATTTGCACAAAGATGGGACAAGAAGCAATGGCCAGGAGTTGCAGTAAAGGAAATTTCAGCCAGCTGTGAGGAAAACTTTCCCAATGGAGGTGGTAGAGTACTGGAGCAGGGGTCCAGCGAGGTCACAAAACCCCCATCCTTGGACACATTTAATGTTTGACTGCACAAAGCCCTGGCAACCTGCTGTAACTCCAAAGCTGCACCTGCTTGAGCATGGGGGCTGGATGAAAGACCTTAGGAGGTCCCTTCAACCTAAATTATTCTGTGATTCTGAGCTGCAAACAGCAGGATTACTATATTCAGCTCCCAATTTGCCACTGACTCAGTAGCAAATGTCTTGGGCATCGTGTGGCCATTTTTAGCTCCTTCCCCACAAGAAGGGGATGGTGGTCCCTTCACAGCTTGCTGTGGCATAGGAGGCGCAGACAAGTCCCAGGGCTGGAAGGTGCCATCAGTTTGCAAAGATGTAATTTATTGCCATCAGTGCCATTACAAAGCTCGTGGTTTCTGTATGAATAAGAGAGTCTTTTGAGCCTTTTTTCGGTTGAAACTTCACACAGATGTAGACAGGCAGCAATATGATGGACCCTTGAATCACTGTGTCAGTGCAGCAGCATCTTACACCTTCTGACCCTGTTTTTGGCCTCCCTGATTTCACATGCCTCCTGCTGAGCTGAAGCCAGGAGAGTTAGGTCAGGGATAGTTTAGACTTAAGAACAGGCACCAAAATATAAAAATGCTGAAAAATTGACAGGAACAAAATCATTCCATTGACATTTCAGATGGAAAAGGCTATCCTTTATTTGTCACTTTTAAGATTTATGACTTGAAAACAATGCTGAATCCATCAAGAAGCAGGAACTATCCTGGTGACTGAGCTGCTCGGGCTTGCACTATAAATAACACATATGTGGACTACAGCTTACAAAGAGACAATAACCACAGGCACCCAGCTGAGGCCGAGTCTTTGGAGGCAACCCAGCAAGCTGAAGCTCTTTGGCCGGAGCCCATAGCAAACAGTGCTTCAGGCAATGATGTATCACAGCTTCATCTTGCAGAGTCCCACCAAACTGGCTGCAAGACTTAACCCATGAAATCCCTCCTCTGCTACCAAGCTACGTTAAAAATTTTCGCCCCAGTTTACAGTTCCCATCAAGCCATGGTGCCCAGAGAGCCCCCAGCCTCATAAGCTCTCACATCTTTTTTTCTGGTGGGAGATGAAGCAATGCCTTGATCTACAGATGTCCAAGCATCTGCAGGGATTTGGCCATCTGATAGCAGCGCTGTATGGATCAGTTTCCCCATCTATCAGATGGATCTGGCACACTTTGGTGACCAAGAGCTCTGAGCTTTGCAGCACCATCTCAGTTGCGTTGTACCGTATTGGGTAGACAGGTACTGTGTAAATAGCCTTTGTGCAGGTTGACACACACACGTTTCATCTCATGACCTCTCACACACACTGAGGTGATACGGGACAACATCAGTATCTTGAGAAGCAGAGGAGGGACATGGTAACTGATCATTTGCCAGAAAGGAGAAGAATTGGTGGGAGAAGAAGGGGCTCAGGGGAGTGAGCTGTGTAGACAACATTGCCAACACCGCGCTGTTACCTGGCAGAAATGGAAAATATCAGTATGAAATGCTGTGGCGTGTGCTACAGCTGAAGAAATTCAGGCAGAATTTCTAAGATTGAAGTGCTTCAGCTCCTCCAGTCCCAGGAACTATCTGTTATAGGTCCAGCATGGGACTCTCTCATCCAAAGACGACCAAGCTTGTTCCAAGTCAAGGCTTTGGTGCACAGAGCAGAACATGTTCCCGCTAGTGCATCTCTGCTCTTACACCTTGTCATAAAACATATGTCATATGATATATGACTTGGATTTGCACTAAGATTCCCCCATCCTGCATCAGACGGTAAGGCACAGGCAGAGACTGACATTGCAGAAAGTGCCTACTGGGGAGACCAAGCTGCATGTGGGAATGGACTTTGCCCTCAGCCGCTGGGCCCTGATCTTTGCTAAGCAAATGGGCCGGGTGAGCACACACTAATGACCATGTGTTTCCTTTCAGTACGACCATCTGGACGCAGACTGGCTGGGGATGCCCCCCCTGCCCTCCCCTCGCTGCCTGTTTGGCCTGGGAGAGGCGGAAAACTCCATTTTTGTGGTCGGAGGGAAAGAACTGAAAGAAGGAGAAAAGACCTTGGATTCAGTCCTGTGCTATGACCGGCTGTAAGTGTTCACGTGCGAGTGCTGGGCGGGAGGTGGTTGACAGGAGAAGCAGCAGCTGCTGTGCAAAATGACTCCAGCCCTCCAGGGACTGAAAGGTTTTGGAGACAGGGGTCAAACTCTAGATGCTGGGACCACTGGGACTGTCTCAAGATGTACCCTGGGGCTCTGAGCTGTCTCTCTCCAGCTGCTTCGTTTATTGTAATTGAACCTGCAGGAGATGGAAGCCGTAATGGGGATATTATGTTACCAGGGACCAAACTTAGCAGATGCTCACATGGGATCTGTACAGAGGAACAAGGGGAGTTTTTCCTTCTTCTCTTGCCCATTGGTTTGGAGGTTCGGCGACCTTCACCATGGTCCCACCAGGAGTGGCTTTGGACAGGAAAGTTTATTTTGAAAGTATTCAGCTATGGCACTGAATAGCCCACTCTGAGAGATATCAGGCTTAATATACAAATATTTTTGAACAATGGGCTCTGACCCATGTTATGTCATGTGCTTTATTAAAAGGCACTGTCCCATTCTGCTCGCAGGAGGCAGAAACATCCAAAGACTGCTCCTCTCGGCCCCAAAGAGGCAGAACAGGAGGCGTTAACAAGCCTTTGCTTGGTCTGCATTTAGATGTGTGTGCTTCCAAGTCTGTTTTATAGGCAGAGATTTGAAACCAGTTTAATTCCCACAGAATGGGGCATTTATCTGCCCGTGCAGACTCTGGGAAAGGACATTTCTGCCCCCGCTAAGTGCTCAGGGGGTGTTTTGAATACCGATTTGAAGCTGGTAGAGATGTGATCAGCACTACCTGTATTTCTAGTGTCATTTAGGTCAAAACTTCAACTGCAACAAACCTGGAGAGGGCGAACTGCTGTCTATGGGATCAAATATTTCCCCAGAGTGGCTGGACAATCAGAAAGTACTCAGAGCCCAAGCATCTCAGTTCCTTCAGGTGAAATAAAGTGCAGGTCTTGGGGGCTACAACCTACATGTATGAAAACTGGGGACGGGTCTAAACTACATGGACATGAACAGAAATCTCTTGAGAAATTGGTCATCCCTATTTGGGTATCAGTTTGGGGTTTCCAAAGCCTTATATCTACATGTTCTGCTCAGCTGCCCTGGAGATAGCTCAGAGCCTTCAACACAGCCCTGTACTACAAAATGTGGACATATCCACCGTGGGTCCTTTCTGAGTGTTGGCCAACCATTTCACCTCAAAAAGTGGAAGGTGATGGCCAAAAAAGAAACTTGTCCTCATGATCTTGCACCCCTAAGTCGCATTGGTTTTAATTTTTTACATAATGCAGAAATCTCTGTCTTGCCTGTGTCTAGCTGGTAATGCTGGTAAATGAGGTGAGGTCCTGAGAGAAGAGGGGCTGCATATGCACAAAGCCCAAAAGTAGAGGATGCCGCAGATAAGAATGAGCATTAGCATAAACATCCTGCATATTTTGTTCTCCCTTCTTTTTTAGGATCACAAAATTTACTGGTGAAAATTTACTCCAGAAAGCTGGAGATGGACATTTTACATGGGAGCATAGTGATAGGACAAGGGGTAATGGCTACAAACTGAAAGAGGATAGATTTAGATCAGATATAAAGAAGTTCTTTACTATGAGGGTGGTGAGGCACTGGAACCAGAGAAGTTGTGGATGCCCCATCCCTGGAAGTGTTCAAGGCCAGGTTGGATGGGGCTTTTGAGCGTGGCAGAGGGGTTGGAACCAGATGATCTTTAAGGTCCCTTCCAACACAAACCATTCTGTGCTTCTCTGATTCTATGGTTGAGCACTATCTCATTGGAAACCTCATATTTTTGAGATTGTGTTTTCTGTTTGTCAGGATCTGGGCTCACCTCTAGGTCTGGTCAGGATCTATGCTCACCTCTACATCTTGAAAGTGCCATGTACTCTGGGCCTCGCACAGCAAGCTACAAATCCTTTCATTTCCCATCTTTCCCTGATCCAGGTCCTTCAAGTGGGGTGAAGCTGATTGCCTTCCCTATGCAGTCTACGGCCATGCAGTGGTATCGCACAAGGACCTTGTCTACGTCATTGGTGGCAAAGGAAGTGACAAGTAAGTCAAAAAGCAAGAGAAATGGAGGGAGTCATCCCCCAAAGTAGTGGGAGTGAAGAGCATGAGTTGGTACCTCCCCAACCTGGATGCTATGGGTTAGGGAGGGTTGGATGGGATGTGAGATGTGGATCCTTCCCTCGCAGCTCACCTCTGTGACTGCAGCCCTTCCCAAACCATTAGGAGTCCCACAGGGACATCAGGGAGATGGCACTGTCCTTGCAGGAACAAACTGAAAGAGGATAGATTTAGATCAGATATAAAGAAGTTCTTTACTATGAGGGTGGTGAGGCACTGGAACCAGAGAAGTTGTGGATGCCCCATCCCTGGAAGTGTTCAAGGCCAGGTTGGATGGGGCTTTTGAGCGTGGCAGAGGGGTTGGAACCAGATGATCTTTAAGGTCCCTTCCAACACAAACCATTCTGTGCTTCTCTGATTCTATGGTTGAGCACTATCTCATTGGAAACCTCATATTTTTGAGATTGTGTTTTCTGTTTGTCAGGATCTGGGCTCACCTCTAGGTCTGGTCAGGATCTATGCTCACCTCTACATCTTGAAAGTGCCATGTACTCTGGGCCTCGCACAGCAAGCTACAAATCCTTTCATTTCCCATCTTTCCCTGATCCAGGTCCTTCAAGTGGGGTGAAGCTGATTGCCTTCCCTATGCAGTCTACGGCCATGCAGTGGTATCGCACAAGGACCTTGTCTACGTCATTGGTGGCAAAGGAAGTGACAAGTAAGTCAAAAAGCAAGAGAAATGGAGGGAGTCATCCCCCAAAGTAGTGGGAGTGAAGAGCATGAGTTGGTACCTCCCCAACCTGGATGCTATGGGTTAGGGAGGGTTGGATGGGATGTGAGATGTGGATCCTTCCCTCGCAGCTCACCTCTGTGACTGCAGCCCTTCCCAAACCATTAGGAGTCCCACAGGGACATCAGGGAGATGGCACTGTCCTTGCAGGAGAGGGAACATATCATCCCCTTTACTCACAATAAATAAATATCACACAGATTCAGAGAGGCACTGAAGAGCAAGAAGCCCCTTCACACTGAGGGTCTCCTGTCTTGGACTTGTGGAGCGGCATGGTCCTAGTAGTCAAATCCAGATGAGTATTTGCAACAGGGGCGAAAAACTTCATCAAAACTGACCCCCATCCTGCCCTCCTGCAGCAGATGGGCTCAGCAGAAAAAGCCTCTCTTGGGGAGTATTGCAGCGATTTCTTTGCAAGCCAGAAGTGTGACTGTTTGCAGAGCAAACATGCCATAATCCAGCAAAGATGGGTCCTGCTCTGAAAGGATTACAGTCTGAAAAGTCTGAGTGTGCGTACATTCATGCACCTTACATTGCCATCCCAGGGAACGGGGGCGTTACTGATGATATTCAGGTTGGAGCAGCAGCACTGAAACACTGTCTGATGGCTGTGTGCAAGGCCCTGAGAGGCAGTTAGCTACACGGGCCCCTATCCAGCTATGTGAACACAATGTCGCGCTTTTAGGACTCCTATCTAAAGCAAGCACACCAGGAGGGGATGTCTTATACACTTCATGATGTCTTCAGGCATGGGCATCCTTGGGTGCACATCCAAGCAAAGGCACTCATGCTGATGTGGAAGAGGAAAATCCTTTCTAGAGACCCCACGTTCTTCCCAGCAGACATCCCCCAACTCCTGCAGTGCAAAGCTGCCCCTCGGCAGGCGATCGAGGCTCCTTCTCTCTCTCTCCCCTTTCTCTAGGAAGTGCCTGAAGAAGATGTGTGTCTACAACCCAGCCAAGTTTGAGTGGAAGGATCTGGCTCCCATGAAAACTGCCCGGTCCCTGTTTGGAGCCACCGTGCACAAAGACAAAATCTACGTGGCAGCTGGTGTGACCGACTCTGGCTTGACCAACTCCGTGGAAGTCTATGACATTGCCACCAACAAGTACGTACCTGAGCATGCCTTCAGGGTGTAGTTACACAAGGGGTAGTTGCAGGTGTACATTAAGCAACTTCCAACTATTCTGGAGTTTGTTTGCAACTCTCAGTACCAGTTCCTCCCAGTCTGTATTCCTCGGACAGCTGGGCATCACCAATGCCACTGCAGTTGGGCTGTGGATCATCTCAGGCTCACCTTCAAAGCAGTTTCACCAACTGGTACAGCCCTTGGGTTCCCTGCAGGGCTGTAGCTGCTTCTTGGCAGCTTCACCCAACACAATAGACTCTCTGACTTCAGGTGGGCCTTGCAGCTGCAGTCCCACCACTGGGACCTGCTGGTTCATGCCAGGTGTCCTTCACCACTCATCTACTCAATGCAAAATGAAGTTGAACTATGAAGATGGGAACAGATATCTCTAACAACAGTCAATGTATGATCCCATCCCATGTAGACCTACCCAAGTTAATCTGTTACTAGTTAATTCAGTTGTTGATTCCTGGTTCAAGGCCAGCCTCGGTGCAAAGGTAGGCAGGGTGCCCTAACATGTCCCCTCTCTCGACGTGGCAGGTGGGACACTTTCACTGAGTTCCCTCAGGAGCGCAGCTCGGTCAGCCTGGTGAGCTTGGCTGGAGTGCTCTACCTGCTCGGAGGGTTTGCCACGGTGGAGACGGAGTCGGGAGAGCTGGTGCCAACAGAGCTGAACGACGTTTGGAGGTGACGGTCTTCCCCGGGGCTGTCCAAGGGAGCATGGGAGGGATGTTAGTGAGAGCCACTGAGGGAACAGACAGTTTCTGTCTTTCTTGATGCCTTCAGTGTGAGATGGATGTTGTTACCCCAGCACAAGGCTGCAGGGTCTCTGGGTGAGGTTTGCCCTGTGCTGTGCTGGAGGGCACGTTAGGTGATTCAGTGACCCCTCCCAGCCTCATATAGCGACATACCAGGGAAAATCTGCTCCTTTAGCTTTGTTGCTGCATTGACATTTTTCCTGGAGCTGGTTCCAGACCTCCCCTTTGGCGTGAAGCAGTCAGTGTTTGTGCAATGCATGCTCTCCTTGGGAAAAGCCAGTGCTTTGGCTGGAAATCGGTCTTACGTGCGAGCAGAGACGTGGGCAGAAAGCACTTTCTGATGGCTGCTAATATTGCATTAGCTGCTCCTGTCCTTCACATCTGTGGCTCTAGAGCACCCTCAGCAGGCACCTGCTGGCCTTCACCATGGACGTTCAGTCTTGGTGCCATCAACCCATTTCCCAATGGAAAAATACACCCTCCCCTGCAAGGCTACATGCTGATATCCATGTCTCCTAGCCTGGCGCTGCAAACCAGAGCACACCAGAGCTGAAAGTCCCCATGCAGCTCCCACAGGTATCTTGTGGCCAAATAATATCCGTGGGACATCACACCATGCACCAGGGCTCCCACCACTATGAAAAGCAGCTGAAGCGAGGGAGAGGAGACACTTTCCTCACCATAACTGTCTGTCTGTCCCCAGATATGATGAAGAGCAGAAGAAGTGGGAAGGGGTCCTCCGGGAGATCCAGTACGCCTCCGGTGCCACTTTCCTTCCCGTGCGCCTCAATGTTTTGCGCCTAACGAAGATGTAGCGAGGCATGATTTATTTTTTTTCCATGGGGGTCAGGGGCAAGGAGGGATGGGGGGAGGTGAGGCCATGCTTATCAGTGCAGACGTGTGGCATCTGGATACTGTGTAAGACATTGCATCTGTGATTGGTACCCTTTTATTTAGTCAAATGGAAAAGGAGGCAAATTATCTTGAAGCCCTATGGGAATTTGAAGATGCTCACAAGATAACTAGAGAAGGGATCTGGAGCCCGCAAGGATCTGGGGTAGGCTGAGAAGCATGGAGCAATGAGTTGTTCCAGTCTCAGTGGACAGGACAAAAAGATCATACTCTTGTTCCGCTTCTTTCTCCATATTTTCCCCTGTCTTCTCAACTGCTGTTGAACCTCCCCAACCAAGAGAGTGGAGGCAGAAAGTGGGACCCAAGGGACTAAGCTGACGTTCCCCAGGGAAGGGGGTCTATAAAGTATTTCCCCACCTAAGGCAGCTGTGAGCATGGTGCTAGAGCCCACCTTGGAGAGGAGAAGGAAGGGTCAAAGTCAAGTGGTACAGGAGAGTCCTGAGGGGAATTTGATGAGGGCTGTTGGGATGAGATAGTTAAAAGAAAAGAGCATGTGACTGTGGGCAGCAGAAATGCTTTGGAAGTTGCAATGAAAAGACAATAGTCTTAGTTCTTTGCCTCCACCTTGACTTTGGACTGAAGAGAGGCCAGGAGCTAAGGTCTGCAGGAGGGGAAGAGTCAGTAGGTTAGGAAAGGGGGAACAGACAAGCGGGAGGGGCCACGTGCACTCACCTCCAGCGTTTTGGGCTCCTCATCTTCAATCACAGGTCACAATGTCCTCACCAATGGTTGGACAAGTGCTGTTTTTCAGGGAAAGGTTTTATATTTATGCTGTTTCTCTTATTTTTAATGTTCTGACCTTTTTTTTAAAGAGTATTCTAGTTTGCTAAGTACGTGGAGATCTCAGATGCGTTTGGCTCAAAGAGAGCTTCCTACTGAGGAAAAATGCGTATTTTTTTTAAAGTTATCCATAATGATGTTTTGATAGAAACATGACTGTACTAGCAGCAGGACAAAGATCTGCTAGAGCAAAAATCTCCTGATGCCCACCCCATCTGACCAGTGGTTTATTTAAAAATAAATTATTAAGCTATTTCAAAAGAAATCCCGTGTTTGCATGTTGATAGAGCTGTAACTGAATGGCCACAGCAACCAAACACAAGGACCAAGCAAAAGCTGCGATAACCACATGCAGCAAACCAGCTCCATGGAGAGCCCTTGCACAGCCACAGCTTTTATTCTTCTTATTTTCCCCCATTTGGAAGCTGAAACTTTAGCTGAAACCTAGGACCAGAAGGAAGCTGGATACCTACATGATCTCATGACACCATGAACAGGGATGATAATCAATAACGAAAAAGAACAGATACAAACCTTGCAAAATACTACCCTCAAAGTGGCATGAAAATTATGGTATTAAAAATCATATCTGGCTGATTCGTCTAGCTCAAAATGCAGTCGTGGAGAAACTAAAGCATGTTTGGAAGGAAAGACAATTTGGCATGGCTAAGGAACCGGAGTCTTGTCCTGGTTTCATTTTAAGGATTTAAAAAGTTACAGGATAATCTCCTTAGAGGACAATCACATCAGAACAGTAATGAAACATTTTCACAAGAAAAATAAATCCAAGGTGACTGGCTGGCACAAAATAGCTTAAAAAAAGAGGCAACAAAACCTTTGAAACAATCATCAAATGTGTGAAAAATGCACTGCAAAAAAAAAAAAAAATCACCTTCTACCAATTCTGCGGAAACTCCTGTGGACGACTCCCAAGGTAATTGAAGATGAATCTGCCAAATGTTGAATAGCTTGTGGCAGAAAAGAAAAAAAACATGAAGAAGAAAAAAATAATAATCCATGCATCGAATAGTAATTTTTTAAAAGTCACTTATTGTGGTGGCAGGATACCACCTCCTGCCTGGGATGGGAAACCTACGCCTTTGGTTCAGCTCTTCGTGCCAGACACAGAAAGCAAAGCTGTTGGCACTTGGTCCGAAGAGAGGGTTCATCCCCATATACCCGCTGCCACGTTGCTTGGCTCCCCTGGGGAAAATCTGGGCCCTTTGAAGCCAACAGGAACGTTGCTGAGCCTCGATGAGTTGTTGTTATGATTTGGTTCCTTGATAACAGCTTGAGAGGTGGTGATTAAAACTGGTCCCCATCCTTGGTCGCTCACCTCACAACTGTCCATCAGGAATACAGTTCATAGGACCTTAGTGTTCCTGTCTGGTTCACATCAATTATAAAGCTGTGGGAGATGCCATTGCTGCCACAGGGCAAGAAACCATAACAGAAAAAAATGGCTGTTGTACAAAAGGACCCAGAAGAGCTTGAAATATCCCATCACTTGAGCAACGACGGCCAAATCTCAATGTGTGCAAATCAGCATTGGCCCAAGGAAGGCAGCAAAGTTGCACAACACCAAGTGAAAGTCTGGCCCGGAGATGTTCACCACCACCTTGCCAAGAGGCTGCTTCAGTCCAAAGGCAATCACAGATAAGAAATGCCAACATGGATACTCAGAAAGGCATCACTCCTCACTGCCCGGCGTTTTCTCAGCTCAGGTGCACACAGTTCCAGCGGCACAGGTCCCCTGCGGGTATCTTCTCCGGCCAATGCCAGCAGCAAAGGAGTATGTACATCCCAAGGGTGGGGGAAAATAATCTCTTCTTCCATTAGCTTCCCAAGATCAGTGCTGACGTTAGCTGGCGAGGTTCCCACTGCTCCATTTTACATCAATAAAGGCACTTGGTGCTTTTGGATGGGCTCCTTGGTTTCTCCACTGCTTACAGAGGAGCTCAGGGAGCCCCAGCTCATAGCTCACAGCTCACACAAATCTCATGGAGCCAGTAGAACCCAGGAGCTCAGCCCTCACCAAGCCCCTTCTTCCATCCACTCATCACCCTTCCCTGAAAAGCTATTTTTTGTTGGCCCCACAGCAGTCCAGTTGTCTCACACACATGTGCACACCTCCCACCAAACCCAACGCAAAGGCTATATGTGTGAAGCAATGGTAGCAGTGAACACGCCATGGGAAGCCCATCCTGCTGGGCTCTGGCTTCTCACACAATTGCCTGAAAAGAGACTTTTAAAAAAAAAAAAAAAAAAGAAACAGCAAAACTACGGTAACAAAGAAAGTGGTGGAGCTTTAGGTTTTCTTTTATAAAAGACAAATCGTTTATTGATTCAGTCCTTCCACTTGCAACCTCTTTGGTAACAGTCATTAACACTTCCAAGACTGGGAGAACGCAGTGGAAAGGCCCAATTCTGACCTCTCACCGCTTTCAGAGCTCAGCGACCCCTGACGTGCCTTGGTGAAAAGCCAAAAGAAGGTTTCAAAGCATGGCCAAAGACCCGGCCTCTAGGGACAACCCAAAACAGCCTACCATGACTTGTCTTGCTCGTGGGTGGCCCAGAGAGCAGCCCCAGCACCCCCAGGCAGAAGGTGGCTCGGGATGGGGATGCATGTTGGGCTCTTGGTGCCAAGGCTGACTGTGAGCTGTGCCCTGGAAGGCAGCTTTGATGCACCTCTTGGGACCTCCTGGACACTGGCCAACGGGGCCGTCAACAAAGCAAGACTCGCCCGTTCCTGCGGTAGGCAATGACTGGCCCCAGCTGGCCCCATGCGGATGCACTAACCCGACCGTCTCAGCATCCCCCTCATCACACCATCCCAAAGAGAGTATCTGCTGTACTTGGAGTTAAAGATAAACATATATTGATTACACATGGTCATAAAAAAAAAAAGTAATAATAATAATACATTTCCTAGAACGTTACTTAAGACGCTTCCGAAAAGCATCCAAGCTTCCCCTCCCCTCCCGCCTTCCCTTATCTATACAGAATAAAGTGCTTCGTTTAGTTTGTTCACACTAGTAGAGCCACCGATACACTCTTAACTTGGCATGTTTGGGCAACCGATACTGAATGCCATAAAATAATACAGAGCCGAACATCAGGCATGAGAAACTAGTTTTGAGGCAAGTGCTTGGGGTTTCATTCATTTCCTTCAAGTTCCATGCTACTGAGGTTGTTCTTATTCCTATTTTTTCCTTTTTTTTAATTATTATTTTCTTCCTTTGCATGTTCGACCCTTCTCCCGACGTGGTTACGTGTCACTAGGCAGGGCTGCATGTGGGGAAGCTCTCTCCGTCCGTGTGAACAAAGGGCGTCTGTCTGTCCGTCCTTCCCTCTCAACTTCGGGCAAACCAAGAGTTTAATCAGTGGAATTGTCTAGCAGCGGATGCTCATCTCTATTGCACTGTCACAGCCGTTCCCACCCGCCGGCCGTCCATCCATCCATCACCTTCCCACCACGCTGGGGTTATGGCTGTGGTCCGAAGGGCCAGCCATGCCTCAGGGACATTATGAGGCTAACTGGTCTGTGCTACCAGGCTCCTGGGATATATAAACCAAAAATGACCCTCCCCACACGACTCCCTCCCTCCCTCCCCAGAGTTCAAATGAAAGGGGAAAAAAAAATTCAAACCCGGAGAGGTCTGGGGTTGGTGTGTGGGCAGAGTTGTCAGCTGAACGTTGCGTTGCGGCATATTCATGAACTGTGTAATGGAAAACAAGCCCCTCTCCACCCTTGCGGTCTGCTGAAGAAGGGATGTGAGAGATTAAGGTGCAAGAGTTAAACAAAAAATATTTAAAAAAAAATTAAAATAAAATATAAAAAGCTTGAAAACAACAAACCCAACTCCCCCATCTCCCACCTCGTCTAACCCAATGGGTGCCAACGGGGCCGACTGGGATGGATGCGGGACGAGACACTGCGGGAGCGACTCGTTTGAGCTCTTAGTACGTTAACGAAAACCAGACATGAAGAGACATCGGGGCCGAGTAAGGGTGTAGACAAAAGGGCTTGGAGGCCATGTAGGACTCCTGGGAACTGCCCAGGCCTTGGAGAGGGGAGGGAGCAGCAGGGATCTGGTTCTCCAAAGTGCTGTGTGCATGGTCACATCTCGACGTCTCCAAGTGGCTCTCCGGGCAGGCTCTCGAAGGGGATTGGACTGGGCTGGGATCAGTTGCTGGGCTTTCCGCTGGGCTTCTAGCCTCAACGAGGAGCTCTCATCTGGCAGTGATGTCCAAGCAGGACAGGTCCTCACCAGGAGAGGATGAACTGGGGCAGGGACAGGCAAAGCCACCTCCAGGTACAAGGGAGCACATGTTGGCATGGGGGTTTGCCTGCGGGGAGAAGTCTACCAGCCAGGCAGGCTGACAGGCTCCATCACAGCAGATCCTACAGGCAAGGTGAGTCCTCCTCGGGGTGCAGTACTCCCATCCCATGTCAAGGACGTGTGAGGGGAAAGAAATGCAAGGGAGCCCGAGGGGATGGGCTCTACTCTACTGAGGCCCTCCACCACCTCCAAGGGTATTACTGAAGGCTCCTCTAAAGCAATCATCTTCCAGTTTGGGTCATGGTCCCTTTAGAAAGCCAATGGCCCCAAGAGCTGAGTGCCCACATCCCTCACAGGCCTGTGTTTGAGAAGGCTTTGCACCATCACAATAAGCCCCAGGGTCATGGAGGAAGGAGAGCGGAGAAGCCTTTGGTACCTATATCTGAGAAGGTTAATACGGCGAGGCAGCTCTGCCATAGCATCCTCCCTTTGCTCAAAGCAGATGGAGATGAGGGTGAGATCACTGGTACTGACTGCAATGCAGTCCACAGGATCCCAGCCAACGTGAGGATGAAAAGCAATTTGTTGCTACAACATGCTAACACCCACAAGAGCAGCCAGCTTTCCAAGAGACATCAGGCATGGGGAACACCACTCAGTAGGAGGGGACATCGGTCACCTAAACCATCACTCAGGAGAACAGCGGGTGCTCCCCTGTCCCGTCCCTATCAGGCTAACACTCCTGCACGTCCCCAGTCAGCAAAGCTCCCGAGCACATGGCTGAATCCTCCTGGCTCTGCAGGGACAGCCTCAACGCTGCCCAAGTGCTTTGCTGATTTGGTCCAGGAGATGAAGCACCAAGACTTCTTGCAGAGCCAGATATGGCTCACTGTCCCCAGTATCCCGCTATCGCCCAGACCGAGGTGCAGATGGGAAAGGGCTCCTGCAGCCTGCTCAACGTCCTCTCTTCCTTCTTGCCTACCGACAGCCCTGCTCACCACCTCCTCTGTGACCTGACCCACATCCGCACGCATCCACAGTGCTGGCCTTGGGAGCAAGGCATCAACTGCAATGCACCCCACCTCTTGGCCAGCACCTCTCTGCCTGTGCTGGATGCTCTGCAGCCCTTGCAGCACTCCCAGCTCTCCCTGACCCCAAAGAGGACACTTCCCTGGGCAGGGAGACCACACAGCCACGGTCAGGCCAACGCACAACACCCCAGGGCAGAGCACAACAGCGAGAAACCCAGGTTGGACCCCAGCATCCAACAAAAATGTAACAGCAAAGCCTTCCTCTTCTCCTCCTCCTCCTCTGCCGGCATGAAGCCAGCCTAAACAAGTGAAGCCGAAAACCAGCTCAACTTCAACAAGCACAACATGGTCAGAGAAGCGCTAACCAACGCCGTGGGGCATCACCAAACCAATCACAGCCCTCACTGGTCCCCTCTGGTCCCCCCAAGCCAGGGCAGGTCAATGGCTGCCAACCCCATGGGGACAGGTAAAGCTTGGGAGAGCGACGCAGGCAACAAACTGGAGGATGGGACATCGTCATCAGGCTGAACGCGGTCTTGCTTTAGCTCTAAACCTTGCAATGGGACCCAACCTGGAGCTCACCCATCGGTCAGGGGTTTGTTCAAATTGTTAAGGCACTATTCTGGGCTGATTCTGCCGAAAAACGGTGGCGTCCTGCTCCTCCGTCCCGGGCTGCCACGGAGCCACCCTCCCACCAGTCCCGAGGCCGTCTGAGCTCTCCCAGGGACACTTTGCCGACTCCAGAGCATCCCCAGGAGCCCGGCTGCTGCTGGGATTCGCAGAAAGGGCACACCAGCGCCCAGCTCCCTTAGGGCACCCCAAAAATGAACCAGCAGCGAGCTGCCAATGTCCCGAGATGCAGCGCCAGTGTTTGTGCTTTCACCTATCGAGGAGGAAAACCTGTCGCAGGGAAGGAAGCCACGGCGAGGGCTGCTAACGAGAGCGGGCTGACGGCTTTCCAACGGGGACATCTGCTCGCTCGCTGCAGGCCACCAGGGCCGGCAGACGGGACTGGCAGGGCCTCCTCTGAGGTGCCCACCTCTTAACCTCTTGGGAAAAGAGCCTGAATTGAAAGACCAGCTTTACAGTACAGGGATTCAAGCACCACTAGCTAGATTCCGGCTTATTATAAATATCAAAGTGCCGGCAGGCATTCATTTGGCTAGCGAGCGGGCACACGACACCGGCGAGCTCAACCTCGGACGGCACGGCATCCTGCTCCTCCAAGCACGAAGATGAAGCCGATGAGCGGGAAGATGAAACAGAGAGCAACGCCTTTTACCTACACCCTTATGGACGGATGGCGGTTCCCCCCCACCCCCAACATCCACACTCCTTGCGGGGGGGGGCCTCCTCCTGCTCCCCCTTCTCCACGGAGAATGACGGGTGAGAAAAAGCTAAAAAAACCCCAAAACAACCCCAAAAGGAGGAGGAAGGGGGGTAGAGAGCAAGCGAAGCCTTGGCTCCCCGGGGGGAGGCGTTCCCGAAGGGCAGAGCAGTCCATGCGGGCGCATGGCCGGGGTGGGGGGCACCTAGTTGTTGTTCGAATTTATCCTCCCTGCGGGAAACAGGGGAGGGGGTGGCGGTAGGTGAGGAGGAGGAGGGAGGGTCTGTGGAAGGGGATGAAGCAGCGGCAGGGGCAGAGGGGAGATGCTGGGGCCGGGGGCCAGCGGAGCCGGGCTGGCAGCAGGTTGGGGGGCAGCCGTGTCCGAAGCCAAGGGGTTGCTGACGCGGAAACATTTCTCCTTGTGGGCTTTGAGCATGTTGGAGAAGCGGAAGCGTTGGCCGCAGACGTCACAAGGGTACGGCTTCTCGCCCGTATGGGTCCGGCGATGCCGCTTCATGTTGGGGCGGCTGGTGAAGCTCTTCCCGCAGATCTCACAGATGTAGGGCTTCTCACCTAAGGACGGGGGAAGATGGATGAGAAGCCGATAGCTGGACCATCCCCAAAACCCCATCTGCCATCCACCCAAAGACAGTACCCCCATCCCATTGCTCTTCCCCCCAGGGTGCCCACCCGCAGAGGCTGGGGGCAAGGCGAGGAGCTCTCACCTGTGTGCGTCTTCATGTGCTCATCGAAGTACTGCTTCATGTTGAAGTCCTTGCCGCACCACTGGCACATGAACTGCTTGTGGCCGATGTGGATGCTCATGTGGGAGCGCAGCTGGTACTTGTACTGGAAGCGCTCGTTGCAGTTCTACAGGGGCGAGAGGGGGATAAGCTGTTGATAAGCACCCAAAACACCCCCCACATCCCCACCAAATCACCAGCATGTCGGAGCCACGCAGAAATCATTTTCCCGCCCCATAAAAGAACCCAAATAAATAGCCTTTTTGGGACATACTCAGCCAGGTTTGCAGGCTGGATGGGCTTGGGGTGGGATGCAAGGTCCAGGCGCTGGACAGAGAGATCCTGGCGTTGGTCACCAGTTTCATCATAGGGTTGGTGGGACCCTCAAACCAGGAGGGGATGGAAGGTTTGGGAGAGGGGGGAGCATCCCTACAGCTGCACTGGCAGAAAGCACAGGCGAAGCCCCGAGAAGTGGAAGATCTTTCCCCAGATCAGTGGGTTTGTGCCCATTTGAGAGGACGCAGCAGGGGGACGACACACAGAACCTTACCTCGCATTTAAAAGGCTTTTCCCCAGAGTGCTGGAGCGAATGGACCTTGAGGGACATGCTGCGCTTGAAGGACTTCCCACAGGTCTCGCAGGTGAATGGCATGTCCTTGGTGTGAGCTGAAGCGGAGAGGAGCAGGGTCAGGCGCCCTCCCCGCACCCCGAGCATCCATCTCCCCAAGTCCCAGCTGCCGCTCCCAGCGCCAGCGCCCAACCCCAGCAAACCCAAAGCCATCTCAGGAAGGTGCGCGGCAGCAACGTATCAGGTATTCCTCTAATTGCCTGCCAAAACGCCCCTTTTTTTTGATCTCTTTGGTGCCTGCAAGCCCCAGGGACTTGACTGCCATTGCCATCTGCAATTTGCTTTTCAAAATTCAGCACTAGCACAGTCTGGTCCTCTTTTACAAGAGAAGGATGGTTACACTTCAAACTCTTCTTTGATCACTTCTGAGGTCTTTTTTTCTGGTTAAATAAAATAAATGAGCCTCCCCAGCGCTGTGCCTGATTGCTCCAAACCCAGCACTGAGCAGACATACGCTCAGCATTAAATACTGGGCCAGATTTCAAGGTCCCTGCATTGATGTGAGAAAGCTCACCCAACAGTAAGCCCTGCCCTAAACTCCCAACATAACAGTGACAAAAAAACCACCCTTCATTGCCAAAACGATGGATGAGCACCCCTAATGAGACCTCCCCGTGGCACCGGCGCCTCCCACACTCACCAACCATGTGTTTGCGCACATGGGCCATGGTGTAGAACTTCTTCTCGCAGATCTCGCAGGAGAACTTCTTCTCTGCATAGCCATGGACGATCTTGTTGTGCTCGTGGAGGGACCAGAGCTTCTTGAACCCCTTCCCACACGTCACACACTGCAAGGAAAGAGGGGATGGGTAGGGAAGCGGGGAAACGTGCCCAGGCACCCCCAGCATTTTCATTTTACCAGGCTATCAGCTTCACCCATTGAAAGGGAACGCCACTATGAAACCTACAGCTAAGATATCAAAAATCATAACGACCAGCAAGTCTGCTACAGACCTTGTCACTTCAAAACCTCCAAAACTCAAATTTCTGTCCATCGGATGAGGAAGGGACAATGACTTTCCAGGGAAAGACGTGGCATCTCCATCAACGAATGTATTAGGACTTGCATAAACACCAAGGCCCTATTCCCAACTGAGAATTTCATTCTGCACACAATGAAGCCATTACATAAAAAAAATAACCCAACCCTCTGTGCATTAGAAGGCTGTAAAGAATATAGGAACAAGGAGAAGCCCAAGCCAGGGCAGTGCAACTTCAAGTCTTCAGCAGATATTATGGCTACTTTACCAATAAATGAGTTTTCCAAACATATCCCAATGGACCAAAACAGACCCCAAACCAGTCCATCAGCACAAGCAGAACAACATGATCTGCAAAGGCTCCCCTGAGAAGTTATGGTAGAGATTTGTTTCAGCTCCCAGTTCAATGTTTCTTGGAGAGTTCCCAGGAAAAGCTCCAACTTCAGCATGAGATCAGTTCAGTGCTCAGGGAAAGACAGGAGAGCGAGGTCCGCACGGGAAACCATTGCGGGAGCATGGGTACAGCTGGCAGCAGCCAGCCAAGGACCCTGCCAGGAGCCAAGGGACACTCCTTCCCCTTCATCTCCCCATGACTCATCTTCCTCTTGGCCAACAGGGATAAGATCATCCCTTCTCCTCGCAGGTGAATTGAGAAAATAATTCATGCCTTGGAGGCATCTAGCAACAGCACAGCTGAGTGGTACCAGTAAGCCCAGGGGGGATTTCCCAGCAGGGCTTGAAGCAGTGCAGACAGCACAGCCTCCACCTTCTCCTACCCAGAGGAACAGATGCTTGTTGATGGGCTTCAAACAGATTTTGCACTGAATGAGGCTGTGATACCGTGGAAAATATTCCATTATGCCATGTAGTCACAGTATCTTGCTATATATATTTATATCTAGGTGGCTGGGAGGCAAAATTAGGGTCAGAGAGGCATTCCCAACACCCGTCATCTTCATCTTGCCATGCTTGAATATCAACATGAGTAGTTCTCTGAGTTTCACTGTTCCTAAGTAAATACTTCCATGGATCAGGACAGTTTTACTTCTGCTTTAAGAGACATTTCCAGACAAATTCAGGACCAGAGCCTGTTATCAAAGCCACATCAATATCCATTTTCTCCACTTAAAATGAAAAGAGGCTGCAGGGGAATTTTAAAATTAAAGGTAGAGGGAAAGCAGCAGATGTAGGAAAGCTCCCGGGCTGGGACCAAGCACCCTGGAGGGCTCAGCCCTGTGTCCTCAGTTACTGCAAAAAATCATCACTCAAAAATGTGGAAGTAACGACCAAACAAGGGAAAAAAAAAAGAGAAGATAAATTCTTGCAGGTTAAGAGGAAAACCCTACTGAAGCTGGCCAAAAGAAAAGTTTGAGAAACAACCTGATAAAGCAAAGGATGAATTGTTTTTCAGATGGCGGAGGCAGGATGCCTGCTATGGAGGGCACAGGGCCATGGACGGTGATGGAAAACGATCACAGGGAGGGAGATGAAGCCTAACACCTAAAGCATCATGGATGAAATCTGGGGACAAAGCAGCAAAAGAAAGCAGCAGACCTGAATGGGCTAAGAGTGATGGACCCTCCATGGATCAGGTTAAAAAACAAGTAATAAAGACTGTCCATTATAGATACAGAGTAAAAAAAAAAAAAATTGCTTTTCCATCCAGCTATAATTCCATAGTATATTGATAAAATTATTCCATATTATCAGAGCAAATGGAGTGAATTTGGCTATTTGTAAAATTAAAAACACTCAACTACGTGAGAGGTAATGATCCACGTTTTCCGCGGAGGGAGGTCACCGCACGGGCAGTTGCGGCTCATCCTATTCAGAAATGACCTGGAAAAGGAATAAAAAGGGGGGGAAAAAAAACAAAAAGCAATGAGGTGACAGCCACATGTTATCCATCAGGAAAGCAGATGAGCCTGAAGAAATATTCTGGGAAAACCCATTTTTAATTGCACAGGCTTTACGATAGGCTCCAAAACAGCCACCACCACGCAGGTATCGGAGCTACACTCATCCATTCTGGGAAAAAGCATCCAAAAAAAAAATCAACCTCAGGGCTGTGAATTTTTCAGGAAGATGCACCAAAGAGCCAGCGCGGGCAGCGGCTCCTTCACCCACTTGAGCTGAGACCGCTCCTGCCTCCGCATTCCCCACACGCCCTAACGCCGAGATCTGCTTCATCGCTCATTTTATTTGGGGAGCCATCAGCAAAGGGCTCCAGAGCGCTTGAGTTGCGTTACCTTCATCTAGGAGAGCTGCAAGATCATTTAAAATCCGGTCGTGGTGGGAAGGATGATGGGTGAAGCTCTCTAGAAGTTGTTGGGTTTTTAATTATTAGTGGCAGTGTCATGCAAAACAGCTCGTTGGGGATTCGGAGATGGGTTGGAGGGGTCTGCAGGAACGCACATGTCTGCTGCTCCGATGGGATGCCTACCTATCCCCCCAAAACTGCACTGATTTACTGGAGTCGATTTGCAAACACAGATGAGGATCTCGTTAGCGTTAGGCAAAGGATACATGGAGCCTGAGCCACACGTGGATGTCAAATGCGTTCGGAAATTTGCTAATATGCAAGCTAAAGAGCACAAAACACAGATTAAAATCATTTTAACTCATGTCAGCAAATCTTTGAATTAAGCTAAACTGGTTTCAGCCTGGGCGGCAACAGCTGGAGTGTGTCTCTGTCAGGGGCTCACAATGTTTTATCCAGATTAACTGAATAAACTCAAAGAAAAATTACTCCTCAAAAATTACTCCATGTTTCCACCCAGCTGGCCAAGGGGAAGCCACAGTCCCCCGGCAAAAATCCTCCAGTCCCATGCCTCTGTGGGACCCTCCTGAGCCTGAATACGAGTCACGGGTGAAGCAAGGTTCCCTCCCGCCTGCCATGTGCCACCCACAACGTCAAAAATATCATTTGAGCCTAAGCCCATCCCATAGTGTAGCTGGGTGGGATGTCCTCCCTGGTGGGTGGGATGTCCTCCCCCATTGGGATGTCTCATCATGGTGGGATGCTCCTCCTTTGGTGGGACATCCCCACCTTGGTGGGATGTCCATCCCCAGTGGGATGCCCCACCCCTTGGTGGGCTGTTCCCCTCATGGTGGAATGTCCATCCCTGGTGGGATGTCCATCCCCTGGTGGGATGTCCCTGGGGCTGGCTCACCTGGATGTTCTTCTCGCAGTCGGTCTGGTGGTGCAGGAGCAGCTCGCTCTCGAGCAGGAAGCGTTTGCCGCACTTGTCGCAGATCTGCATGCGGCTGTGCGTGACGTTCATGTGCTTCTCCAGGTACCAGCGGTTGTTGAAGACCCGGGGGCACTTCTTGCACGGGTAGTGCTGCTTCTCCTCCAGCTTCACCTTTTGGCCCAAACCATCCTGCTCCTTTTTCCTCTTCCTTCCGCGTTGGCCTTCCTCTTCCTCCTCCTCCTCCTCTTCCACCTTGGCCATCTCTTGGGACCTGGTTGCCATGGCAGGTTTGGTGGCTTTGGATGCCCGGCTGCCTCTGCGAGGCTGCCCACCTTTTTCCCTTTTCACCTCTGATGCATCTTCATCATCATCGTCATCGTCTTCTTCTTCCGTCGTCTCCTCCAGGTCTTCCTCCTCGCTGTGTTCTTCCTCCTCCTCCTCGCCCACCTCTGCATCCTCCTCCTCTTCTTCCTCCTCCTCCCCTTCCTCATTCTCCTCCTCCCCATCCTCCTCCGTTTCGTGCCCATCACCGTCAGGCCGCCCCATCACAGCCGCCTCGCTGGCAGCCGCCTTCCCCTCCATGCCCTTGGAGACATTGAGGGTCTGGTTGTTGAGGTTCACCTCCACGATGATCTGCTCCCGGTTGTACGAGCCCTGGCTGTCCAGGTCCTCCTCGGACTCTTCACCTTCCATCTTACAGACGGCGCCTGGACCACCATCCTTCTCCTCCTTGTAGTACTGCTTGGCTGGACCAGGGGGAAGCGTCCCACCACCTGCTCCATCCTCCACCCGCACTGAGTAGGGGTCATTGCCCTCCCGGGCATAGATCTTGGGATGAGGGGCATCCACCTCCTGCTTGATCTCGCAGTAGTAGGGTGGGGGTCCGGCGCAGCCCTCAGCAGGCAGGGCCATGTCGGCAGCCAGGCTGAGCGAACGGGTGTCAAGAAGGTCCTGGCAGGAGGAGGCGATGTTGTTCATCTGCAGCACGGCGGCCGCGTTCAGCACGTCCTGCACATTACAGGAGTTGACGAGGAGCTTGGAGGTGTAGATGAAGTTGAGGATCTGCTGGAGGCCCTGAGAGGTGAGGGCCTCCAGCGAGAGCTCGACGCGCTGCAGCTGCTTGTTTTGGGTGAAGAGGGAGTGGAAGAATTGGCTATAGGCCGCCAGGACCCCCTTGTGCGCCGGGAAGATGCTCTTGTGCTGCACCAGCACGATGTCCACGTCGCACAGGTCCGGCTGAAAGAGGCGCTGCTCGTTCAGTCTGTCCATCAAACACGTGAAGTGGAGGGCTACATCCTCCACCAGGGAGTACTCAGCCGAAGGGTAGTCAGTCGTTTTTTCGACTATCAGCTGTGGGGAGGAAGGAAATAAAACCACTCAGGAGGGCTCTTTCCACAGGAAAACACCCGCCCGGCCATGCCACCCGTCCCTGTCCATGCATTCCAAGTCAGAGAAGCCAACTGAGAAGCTCCACTGCCAGCCCCAGCTTGGAGATGCCAACCAAGAAGCTCCACCACCAGTCCCAGCTTGGAGATGCCAACCAAGAAGCTCCACCACCCAACCCAGCTTGGAGATGCCAACCAAGAAGCTCCACCACCAGCCCCAGCTTGGAGATGCCAACCGAAAAGCTCCACCACTAGACTCCGCTTCAAAACACCAAAAAGCTTCACCACCAGGCCCAGCTTGGAAACACCAACCAAGAAGCTCCGCCACCACCGTGAGTCCAGGAGATTCAACCAAGGAGGAGAAAGCCCAATGAAAGGACAGGCCAAGGCCACACGAGCACCCAGTCACATCCCTTCAGCCTGGGCAGGAGGTACCATGGCCATCCCACCACCAAGGAGGTCCAAAGCCTGGCTCAGCTGTCCATGCTCGTGTGGAGAAGATGTCGTGCAGGAGAGGGGATGCCTTGACCTCCTGAACCAGATGGAGACCCTGGGGGACATTTGCCCCACACAGGAAGCCAATTTTAGGCACCAGCTGAGATTTAACCCCCTAAATAGAAGGAAATTAGGATTTTAAACCTCCCTGCTTCTACAAGATAATTACATAAAACGCAATATCCCCTAATATTTGCCGAATTACGCCGCGTGCTCTGACTCACGTTAGCAGCTAACTCACTAGCTGGATTCACCAGGATGATTTATGCGCTTTTTTAATGCCCATTTTAAATCGCCTGGGGAAAGGCACTACCTGGAAAAATTCAAATCAGGGAGCAGCATCCCCAGGCTAAGAAATACTGCAACTGCCAGCACTCCCCAGGCTGCATTTGCTGGATATTTAATTTAGCTCACATGTATTTTGCGTGGTGCAGACCATCCTTGGACGTTCGTCACCTCTCATGAGCCCCAGGATGGGTTTGCCAGCTGCATCCCAAATGCAAGGGATATCCCACACCCTAAATCCCATGCCCTGCATTAAAAGCAGGTGGGATATCCGCTTTCCCCCTGCCTCCCTTTGGCTTTCTGTGCTGAACATCCAATTCATGGATGGAGACGGATCCGGCCACGGTAACGCCCTCTTTCCCCCCCGTTGCGGGATGTGACCAAGGACGTGGTGCAGAACAGCAGCGGAGATGGAGGCTTCAACCTGCTGGGTTTCTCCTGCACCTCCCGCTCCAGAAAGAGTTTCTCAGCTCCCATCTTTTCTGGGACAAATGGCAGCTCTTGATCAACACATGAATTCCAGCAAGACATGTTTTGTTTGTCTTTTTTTTTTTTAGTGAGCCAAAGGCAAAAGCACACACAGACAAAAATGTTTAAATAATAAAAAAGGGCGCTTTCTTCCCTGTTTTCTCAACAGACAAAAAAACCCCTTCCCCCTCCCTGCCAAAATTTTTCATTTTCACTGAATTTCTGCTCCGCAACCAATCCACCCAACCAATGGGGTCACCAGCTTCATCCCGATGGCCCCAGAGAGCCCCAGCAAACGCTCGCACCCGGGGAAAACAGGGGAAAAACAGCTCTTCTCCAAACTCTTGGCTCTGCAGCCTGGACTGGGCAAAGAGGTAGTAAAAGAGGGGGTTTGATATATATTTACTTTTTTAAAATATTTTTTTAATATTTTATATATTCATTTATATATATTTAAACTCTTTATATATAAAAAAATATATAAATACATAAGTACATAAACTCTCTTTATATCTGTAGGTTATAAAACGCTGCATCCCAGCTGGAACATCCACTCACCCCCCCGTTTTCTAAGCCTCACGACTGCCAAGGACATTTCGATGAGACGAACTCGGATGGCTCAGCCCCCCCGAGCGCATAGAAAATAAATAATGATATTATAAATATCGAACGCCGAGGAGACAGCAAGCTTTCAGCGGAGCGGTTTGCTCTTTGCCAGGGACTCTCCTGCTTTGCTTTCGCTATGAAAAAAAAATTAAATTCAGGTTTTTCCTCCTGGGATCCACCTCACCTCGCTCCCCGTATAGGATGCTCCAAGCTTGGCACTGCCACAGCCGTGGAGAAATGGGTGCAAAACAGGGGGAATTGGGTCTGCTGGGTGGCATCGCCTCTGCACAGCCCAGCCTGGAAAACAAAAGCTGGGTTTTTTTTTCTCCGGATCGAGGTTTTTTGGCAAAAGGGGCTGACCCCTCACCCAGCGCCGGGGCTTGCCAGGCGGCTCTAATCAGTCCCAGCAGCAGCGAGGACAATGCGTGTCTTGGCCGCGTCCCGTCGGTGACTTCAGCCCAGGCTTGTCAGCGGGAGGTTTTTGCTCTTTATTGCTATCAGATGCTTTTCGTAAGCTCGCCCGGAGCCGGAGCCCCAGCCAAGCCGAGAGGCGCCCACCAGGGTGAGATCCCAAGAAAGACCCCAACTTGCCCCAAAATACCCCTCCGGCAGCTCGCGTCCCTGCAACCCCATCGGAGCAGAGAAGCCCAATTAATCCGGATTAATGGGAGGGTTAAATCCATTACCCTTCCCCCCCAGAAAACCACAAAAATTTTAAATATATATATATTAAAAAAAATTTGAAAAATACATTTTTTTTTAAATATTTTTAAAAATACTTCTTTAAAAAAAAAAAATCACAGTTTTGCTCTTTTCCACCATCACCACCTTGGCCCTCTGGGTCAGTTTGGTCCCACGAGCAGCCCAACGTGGCACCACAGGAGCAGGTCACCCATCCCATCCCCATCCCCAGCCTGGATTTGGGGTGCTTGCTGGGTGCATCAAACCGGAGCGAACCCCAAAACCGCCAACCCCCTCCATGCACTCCTAACCTCCAAGCAGGGCCCTGGCATGGTCAGCACCAAGAAAAAACCCGTAAAAATTATTCGAAAGCAGCATGGCCACAAAGTCCCCACCCCGAGGGGACGGCAGCGCCTCCAGACAGCCCTCCCCGCCCTGACGCTGCCCTCCGGCTCTATTTTAAGAACATTTTCAAGCGGCGCTGCCAAAGCCCTGTCCCGAAACGGCCGGCGGGGCAGGAGGGTGGCCGGAGGACCGGGAGGATGCTCGGGGTGAGGAGGACGGAGGGATGCGGGTCAGCCGAGCCCTGACGGCGGGGGATGTGAGGAAGACATACAAGTGACATAGGAACGGCGGCTGGAGCAGATGCGGATGCTCACTGGACCGAGGCAGCCACCAAAAACCCCACTACAGGAGATGGAGTCTGAGAATGGCCCCTCTCCCCTTCCACCCGCATCCCCCCGCGTGCCTCAGTTTCCCTAAACAGCCACACCAACACCCGATCACCTCCCTGCAAAGGTGGCTGCTGCTGGATTTAAATCCCTGTGCTAAGATAAAATGCTATTTATCTTAGCAGGTATTAAGAGCCGGATCCCTAAATGCTCCTGCAGCAACAAACCCCCCTGAGGGACCGGTAGTTCAGGTCACCCCGGATATATTTAAATACTCATATTTGCAGCCCCCCCAGAAGACCATCTCTGACATTCACCGGCCTCTCTTTATTTATAGCCACATCTATCGCCCTCATCACCAGAGCACCGAGGACCACGAGTACCTCTCTCCCCTAATAGCACACAGACAGGGTTTTGCTGCATAAAAAGCAAATTTAAGTCCCCACTTCTCGCCAGGCAGAGCGGTTAGATCAGCTGCCTGCAAACCAGTTTTCATTCAGCACAAAATTTGGGGATTTCCTTAAAATTTTTCAACCCCAAAACTCCCATGAAAAACAGCAATCTGCTTTTCAGTATCATTCGCAACCACTGAAACATCTACCGTTGACCTTCAGTATTAAATTGCATTAAGGAAAAGTGCTTTAATAAGCAGCTGAATACAACGTTTGCACTTGCTCCTCTAGAAAAAAGCCCGCATCCTATTCTCAGTTTGAACACCGCTGCATTTCAGGGAGAAAGAACTTGGTTGAAACTATTTCATGCCACAGCTTGACTTTTGCTAAAGAAAGAAACAGCATTAAAACCCTATTTTTACAGATTAATTGAAATGATACACAGGCGTATCGTTAGAAATTCCAAAAAGATCCACGCTTTGGGTTTTAATCCTTAATCCCCTATAATTTGCCCTCTGCTTTCAAGACCCTTGGATGAGACCTTCAGCCTTTTCTCCATAGTTTTGAGGACACATGGGCGTTTTTTTTAAGGATGATGTGATGCCCACATCTTCCCATGACTCCTGAAACTGGGATGCACCAGGATGAAACCACCCCAGAACCAGCAGAGCTGCCTGGACCGTACACATCCCATACATCGCCAAAACTACCCAGTTTTGGACCATGGCCATGCATGGAAACCTGGCAGTGGGGTAAAACACATCCCAACACACCCTTCCCTCGCCTATCGCCTACCTTCACCGCTTTGCTTGCTCATCACCCCCCTCCCCAGGGACCTCTCCCGCGAGTGCTTCGCCCTCCCACGGCACGGGACACGGGGTTCGTTCGCTTCTCCGACGGGTGTTTTTATTTAATTAGGGGAGGGTTGTCCGGAAAAACAAGCAGGAAGGGAAAACAATAGCTCGGCCGCAGCCCCGCCTGGCAAGGCGCCGGCCGGCACGGCCGCAAGCGCCCACCGCCGGGATGCTGCCAGGGCTGGACCAGGCGCTCGCCAGGGATGGTCCCATCCCAGCTGCGGAGGCCGGGGATGGCCACATCCTTTAGGATGGTGGTGACACCATCTAAAATGGTCATTTCCCCTATGTGCCCTCTAAAAGGCTTGAGGCTGCCAAAAATAGAGCCATATACAGGCTCCAGGGAGAGGAAAGCAAGGGGAAGGGGCTCAGCGATGCTCCCAGAACCCATCCCACCCTGGGGTGTCAGGCACCCTGAAAAACAAGTGAAGAAGAGCGGCAGCCCAGCTGGAGGACAGTCAGATGCTTCGCAGGCTTTTTTTTTTCCTCCCCTTTGGTTGTTTTTTT